ACATGCACAAAAACAAGACAGAGCAAAACCAAGCAATAATATACAACAAAACAACAACAAACCACTGACAACGAACAAATTAAAACACAACAAGAAAGAAAAGCTTGTAGTTAGTTCAAGGATTGTTGACCTTTAGGAGTATTTTCCAGTCCAGTCTGTTGGAGCACCATGCCGTGGCCCCAAAGTCTGCCTTCAGCATTCCCTGGGGACCTTGCTGCTCCTTTCCCTTGCTGTTCTGCTGCACTCCCCCAGTGCTTTGCCTCGGTGTGGCGGGATCAGATTGGGTGCAATTCCCACACTGTGTCGCTGCTGCTCTCCCCTGCAGGGCCATGGGTCAGTGAGGGGCATCATGTCTCATAGTGGGGCTGACCATGTGGTCCTCTCTGTGGACTGGCTGCTCTAATTGAGCTCATGAGAATTTGAGGGTGATTGGAAGTTGAAGAAATTCTGCTGAATTAAATAAGTCAGCTACACAAGAACAAATGACCTCAATAAAAAGATTAGAAAAGGCAGATGTCTAGAAACCATAGTTTGTTAGTGACTACAAGGGGCAGGAGGGAGGGGGGAAAGAAAGGTTAGGATGATGGGAACTTTGATTTAAGGGAAGGACTGCACCCTTGATTATTGTAATTGCTCTCAACAAGTTGTACACCTGTGAAAAGTGAACTGATGTACGTTGGTGATACATATGCTTACAACAACTATAAAAGGACGAAAATAAGAATGGGTAGCTGCTGAAACTATTGTATACAACCAAAACCTCGTGGAGTTTGGTTCCTTCATGGTTTCATGGAATATTCAAGTTAAATGGCCTAATAAATTATCTAGTGCTTGGGTTGTTATACTTTACAATATGTTAGTCTGGGTAGACTAGACAATCTAGTGGATAAGAAAGAGCTTTGTATAAAAGAGCAATTGTATATTGAGAAAACATCTCAGCCCAGTACAGATCAAGTCCGTAAGTCCGATAATTAACCCATATGTCCATTACCAGTCTATAAATCCCTCTTCAGACTCACGCAGCACATGCAATGATGCCGAATGCAGGAAGATCACAGGCCAATGGGTGCAAAGTATTGTGGATCTAGTGGCAGTGTAAGCATCTTTGCACTCGCTTAGGTCTCCACACGGCTCCTCCATCTCCAGGGCTCTGACTCCATCAGCGTAGCACCATGTGCCTTGTCAGCAGGAATGTGTAGCAGAGTGTGCCTGGGTCTGCCCTCCAGTGAGCTATTTGTCTCCTTAGCACCTCCAAATGAGGTCATCAAAGTGCGACCTGATTGACAGACTAAACGCCACCTCTTCACTCTTAATAGTCTCAAGTTGGCACCAGATTATATAACTACCACGATAGTTCCTTGCATAGGGTTTGGGGTTCTTAAAAACTTCTAGGCAGGCATCCAAGACACCACAGTTGGATTCTCTTTGGTGCAGCAGAGGGAGAAGGAAAGCCAGAAGTAGAAAGAGGCTAATTGCCTCCAAGAACAACTACCTCCTTTGCTGTGAAACCAGAAGAGCTGGATGGAGCCCAGCACCATTACTGTGAACATTTTGGTCAAAGATTCTAAGGAAGAATCACAATCAAAAGAGAGAAAAGCTATCATATATTTTGTTGAAAAGATGCGTTACGTGTATGTAGAATGGCTTTTTGCTGTTTTGTGTACAAGAAACTAATTCTCCAAATATTTTTTTAACTTTTCAGGTATTGCAGGAAGATTACAACCGGACCCCTGCCCAAAGACTGCTCAAAGAGATCCAGGAGGCCAAGAAACACATTCCCCAGCTGCAAGAGCAGTTATCCAAAGCCACAGGCTCCGCTCAGGTAGCATCTCCATCAGAAGTTCTGCCCCACTTTGCAAAAGGAGAAATTTCTCCTGGGAACAAGCCAGAGAATGTTTCAGTTGCCTTTAAAATATGTATTTTTAATAGCATAGGACCACCGGATGTCCTGTGTAGGATGTTACAGAAATAATGATGAAAAGAAATGTGGGCTTCCGAATGTTTACTTGCTCACGATATCATGTTTCTTTGTTCCATAAAAGCTTAAAAGAACAATTGAGTGCTTTTACTTTGATGTGACCAGCTACTAGAATGTACTTAGATACTTATATTAACATTTTTGTGGTTAACTCTGCCATTTTGAACAGAATGACAATTGATAATGTTTCTATTTCTTTAAAAATTTTTTTTATTTTATTATTTTTTGTTTGCTTTAAAAAATACTTTTAGGGGCTCTTGCATCTCAGCACAATCCATACATTCATCCAGTGTGTCAAGCACATTTGCACATATGCCGCCATCATTATTTTCAAAGCATTCTCTTCCCACTTGAATCCCTGATTATCAGCTCCCCATTTCTAACCCTTCCCTTGCCCCGCCCTTCCTCATGAACCGTTGATAAGTTATAGATGATTATTTTCATATCTTGCATCATTTGATAATGTTTTTAAGTAGTGATTTAATATTTTATTAAATGACAGCCATTCTGTCATTTAATTCTGTTTTTGACCCCACCCTCTGATTTTAAATTTGATTGTTTCCTCCCCATTGTGTGCATCCATATTGAAATTCAGATTCAATAACATGTTTAAGGTTATGGTGTTGAAACCCAGTCTGATGATTTCACAGCACCTTCATATTCTCAATGAGTTTGCACTGGAATTTTAAATAGCGTTTGCTACATAGGCATGAATTATGGAGATAATGGTCTCAGATTAAAAACCAGCTCAGCATTATGTGTCAGCCAAATTTACTACTTTTTAATATTCAGATTGGAAATTTAAAAAGAAAGTTTAATGTTAAGCTTCCCATAACCAAAGCCAAGCTCACTGCCGTAGCGTCCATGCCGACTCATGGAGACCCACGGTGGGTCTCTGAGACTGTCACTGTTTATGGGAGTGGAAAGCCCAGTCCTTCTCCCTTGGAGCTGATGGTGGTTTCGAACTGCTGACCATGTGGATTGCAGCCCAACTCATAACGACTACACCACCAGGGCATCTCAGACTTCATCTTAAAACTAAACCAACAAGTGACATATTCCATTTAAAATGGCTAAGAACCCTTTTTGTCATTATTCTTGAGTTTGGACTGCAAACGAAGACCACATATTCATAGAACTAAGAGAATTTCATTTTTTAACATCATTAGCCTAGTCTAATCATTTTAAAGTTAAAAATGTTGTAGTTGAGAAAACTAGATTCCTTAAGTGATTTAAGGGATTACCCCCTCACCCCACCCCACCCCCACCAAAATAAAAAAAAACAACAACAGGAAAAAGCTCCTCTGGGTGGAGCTTTTGTATTAAGATTTTTTCCCCACTAGGTGAGCATTGAGCAACTCACTTTGAGTTAGTGCATCCAGTGGCATCACCTGGGAAGGTCCTTAAAATCGGTTTTGCACCATCCTTGTTTATTGTGAAGGCCAATTTACGAAAACCGTGTGTGGCTGTGAAATTTTATTTCTTGCTCGGGAAAAACTCCACAGAAACTGTTGTGATGTTGAACACAGCTTACAAGGACAGCACTATGGGAAAAACTCGAAGTATACGAGTGTTTTCTCTTTTCAAAAAAGGTGAAATGTCAGTTGATGACAAACCTCATTCTGGACATCTGTCAATTCCCTAATGGACAAAAATGTCCACTCATAGTGTATTTGGAGTTTGTTCCACCAGGTCAGAATTAAGTGTGTAACATAAAAAGGCCTGATTTGTGGCAGACGGGGGACTGGTTTTGCCACTATGACAATAAACCTGCTGACACAGCCATCTCAGTGCGCCAGTGTGAGGCCCTAAACAGCATGCCTCTATTGCCCCACGCACTTTACTCACCTGACCTCCTTCTGTGCAACTTCTTTTTGTTTCCACAAATGAAGAGAGACATGAAAGGACAGTGATTTGATGACAAGAGGTGAAGGAAAAAGTGAGGGCGGTGCTGTCAGCCATCCAAACAGATGAGTTTGAAAAATGTTTCCAAGAATGGAATTGCAAATTTGACAAATGTATTAAGTGTAATGGAGAGTACTTTGAAGGCGATAAAGTTGTTTTGTAAAACAATTTGAATACATAGCTTTCAGGGGAGGGGTGCAATTCCAGGTTTTGGGGTGTATCCCCTGGTAGACCAGGAGTCACATGGCTTATTAATTCTCCTGACTTCTTGGTATACAGTACTTTTCAGTAAACATTTAATGATTCTTTCCCCCTCTAACTTTAAGTCTTACTGTCATGTTTTGACTATTATGCTTCAGTATGTGGACAGTGGAGCCAAGCAACATTGTTACTCTGTTTGAATAGTAAAACTCTGGCTTTTGCTGGTAAAGCTTTGGTAGTTTATTGGTTAACACTTGGCTGCTAACTGAAAGTATGGTAGTTTAAACTTAACCAGCCACTTAGCAGAAGCACGATGAATCAGCGTCAGGAAAGATGGACAGCCTTGGGCACTCTGTTGGGTGTTCTTCTCTGTCCTTCAGGGTCATCAGGGCAGCATTGACTCAACAACAGTAGGGTTTTTGTCTTATCTTAAACCAAAATCAATTCATTATCATCATTTCTATTAATACATTGTATTCCCAAATTAACAATTTATTTAAAAGTATTAATGGAAGGCAGTTAACCAGATATGACAACACAGTCAGAATCTTAACACGTGAAGAATATAGACAGGAAATATGGATTTCCCGAGTTGATAAACTGCTTTACCTATTTTCTTTATATTTGGACGTTTCACAACTTGTACTCTTTTACGGCTCATGCTTTTCTGTCTTTGAAGCCATGCTGCTCTAGAACTGGTACTTGAGCTTTTTGTCTTTAGAGCTATAAGCATTCTTGGACCCAGTCGAATGTCCAGCTTTTCACAGTTTGCATTCAGATGGTTGCAAGTCTGTTTCTTTATGCAGTTTGCCTGTTTTCATGTGTGTGTTTCATCTGTTTTAGGATGGAGCGGTGTGCATGCCCTGCAGGCCTCTGTGTGATGCGCTGACAGCCAGTGAGCTGGAGTCAGATACTGGTAATGGACTGGCCAGGATTGACTCCAGCAGTGGAGATGGGTCTCGGCCCAGTAGTGACAATGCAGATGTAAGCATTAAGTGTTCTAGAGCTCAAGCTTCTTGTATTCTCTCCCACAACCCCTCTCTGTGTTTGATTTTAAATTATGTGACTTAAGTTTTTACTTTATTACTTATTTTTTTGTGGTAATTATCATCTGTAAAAAGCAATTTGATGAGCAAAAATTCTGGACTCTGTATAAAAAACCCAACCCCTTGCCATCTTGTCCATTCTAAGCCATAGTGACCCAGGGTTCAGAGTAGAACCACTCAGGAGGGTTTCTAAATCTTTACGAGAACAGACATCTTTGTCTCTCTCCTGCAGGGCTGATGGTTGGAATTGTCTAGTTTGGATTAGCATGTGGGGTGCTTAACCCACTATACCACCAGGGATCCTTGGACACTGTCTGTTTGAACTTTTAATTACAGAGTTCACTCTTTCCCTTTGACGCCCATTGCCAAATAGTGTTTCCTTTGAGGGGATGGAATTTCCCAGCAGGCATCTTGTTTGTGGGCAAAGAAGTTAATAAAGTCTGGTTCTTACTGAACCGAGAGGCCAACTGTTGCTATCTTTGAGAGCATGCTAATATTTCATTTGTGGTCAGAGTGACTCAGTCTTGAATCATGAGACACTTTGTCATTACAAAGAGGAAAAGCCATACTCCTGTTAGATAATCTACAGTTAATAACCCATGTTTAGTAGCAACTCTTCCTTTATTAACCCAGAAACTACCAAGTAGACATAGGTATTTCTCAAGAAGATAGTAATAGTATATTTTAAGTTGAATATGATGAAGCACTAATATTACAGGGATAATTAAAAGCTGTTTTTTTACTGAGCAGTATTTTGAAGTAGTATGCAGTGATAGCAATAATGACAAAAATAAATCAACTGCTTTAAAGTGACAGGGGAAGTAGTTTAAGTCAGGGTTTGTAAACACCGGGAGTCATGAAATCAGGCCAACAACAGTAATAAAAACAGAATAGGAAATAGTGAGTGTCTTGTAAGGAAAAGGAGCCCTGGTGGCATCATGGTTGCGTTGGTCTGTGATCCGCACGGTTGGCAGTTTGAAGCCACCACCAGCTGCATGGGATAAAGACTGGGCTTACTCTTCTTGTGAGCAGTCTTGGAGACTCACAGGGCAGTTCTCCCCTGCCCTATAGGGTCACTATGACTCAGTAGTTTGGCAGTGAGTTTGTAAGTAAAATGGGAAAATGTTACTTTTTGTGACTGTGCTGTTGTATAGCTAACACACGTGTTTAAAGGTATATACAAGAGGCAAAATGGAAAAAACCTCTGGGTGCAGCTTTTGTAGTATGCATTTTTCCCACTTACGTGAGCTTCAAGCAACTTGCTGTGAGTTAGTGCACCCAGTGGCATCACCTAGGAAGGTTCTCTCTGGACGCAGTGAATTTTTTTGTAAAAGCAGTTTCGCTCCAACCTACTTTTTTTGTGATGGCCAATTTAAGAGAACAGCGTCTGGCTGTGAAATTTTGTTTCCTGCTCGGGATAAACGCCACAGAAGCTGTGCTGAAGGACAGTGCTATGGGGAAACTCAAGTGTACGAGTGATTTTCTTTTTTCAAAAAAGGTGAAATGTCAGTTGATGACAAACCTCATTCTGGACGTCCGTCAACTTCCCAAATGGACAAAAATGCCCACTTTTAGTCCATTTGGAGTTCATTCCACCAGGTCAGAATGTTAATCAAGCTTTCTATTTAGAGGTTCTGAAAAGATTTGCATTAACAGTGTGGGACAAAAAAGGTCTTACTGGGGACAGATGGGGGACTGGTTTTGCCACCATGACAGTGCACCTGCTGACGCAGCCACCTCAGTGCACCAGTTTTGGGGCCCAAACAGCATGCCTCTCTTGCCCCACACACCTTACTCACCTGAACTTGCTCCGTGAGACATCTTTTTATTTTCACAAATAAAGAGGGACATGAAAGGACAGTGATTTGATGACATAGAAGAGGTAAAGAAAAAAATGAGGGAGGAGCTGTCAGCCATCCAAACAGGTGAGTCTGAAAAGTGTTTCCAAGAATGGAATTGCATATTTGACAAATGTATTAAGTGTAATGGAGAGTACTTTGAAGGTGATAAGGTTGTCTTGTAAAACAATTTAAATACATAGCTTTGAGAAAGATTTCTGGCTCTTTTTAGGTGTCCCCTCTTATGTACTGGGTAACAATGAAGACTGTGGTAAAAAAGGAAAGAAGAAAGCCAGTGGGCTAAGCCCATCCTTCAGACCAGCTTTTGAGTTTAGATCCAATGACTCAGTTCCTCATCAAGGAATATTGGAAGGGAACAAAAGCAATGATTGGCTGGCTAATGGCTGTAATGGAAAATTTCAATTTGGCTCCAAAAAAACCCTTGTAATAGCTAACATTTTCTTGGCCATGTGTGCCATAGCTATGAGACGTGCTTTACATTCCTATCTAAGTGGATTCTCAAGACAGCCCTATTAAAAGTAGTACTGCTCTTACTGGAACTTTACAAACCAGAGCTGAAGAGATTGGAACTAGCATGTCCAGCTAACCCAGGCCATCTGTGATCTGACACCTCCAAGGAACCAAAGCCCCAAATAATAGCATTATGGGAAGACAGTGAAATTCTTAGGACAGCTGCCCAGTGGAGGTCAGTAGTTCTGAACCACTATTTTACTCTGCAGAAGCATTCCCTGTAGAGCCCCAGCCTCAGGAGCCCACAGAGGTAGTTCTACTGTGTCTTACAGAAATTGGTTTGGGCTGAAGTAGGTAGGGTTTTCTTTGGCCAGTGCGTTGGGGAGCCTGCCTTGTGCTCTTGCTGTTCTCCTGGCTTGTCTCTACAGACAGATGGAAGTGATGGGAGAGCCCAGGGACTGCCGGTGTTGTCAAAGCCTGGCTGATTACAGGAATCCAGAGCAAGTGAAATGACTAAGATGTTTGAATTTTCTCTTGTATGGTTGGGAATGTTAAAATCAAATCTAAGAAAGATACCTTTATAGTATAGTGACTTAGTGTAGAAATGGACATCCCATTGTTGCATGATGAGAATGAACAACAAAACGAATCAGTGAGAGAATAAGTAAAGGGTTTGCATTCTGCTCTATTTTGCTTGCAGAGGAGAGGGACTATCAGGCCCATTAATAACAAAATATGCCAGGGTGGAAAATGAATGAGGATGAAAAAACGGGCACTTTTGGGTGTCCTTCATCCAAGACAGATGTGGTTGTCCTTTTGGCAATCCGTGGGACTTCCAGTTTTCTTCTCCAGCACCGCAATTCAGATGCAGAATGGCTGCTCATTACCATGCATTGATTGCCTCCTTTTAGTGAGAGGAGGTACTTAAAGCTTTGCAGATATTCTTTAACTCCCATAATATCCTAAGGTTGAGTATGATGAAGCAGTATGACCATTTTAGAGATGTAAAAATGAAGGCCTGTTGAATAAAGGAGGGTTGTGGCTATCCAGATGAGCAATATAGATGCTGGAGCCTAAATTCTAGGTAGGCTATCTGTGTGAGCCAGTACCATGCTTAGAAGTGTTCCTGTGAGGCTGGACAATTTGTTGATTGTATCTGTACATTTCCATGTATATGTACATTTCCCAATTGTACTGTGTTAAGTTTACAGGAACCTGTTATCTTTTGAATCAACACTTTCTTTTAATTTTCTACTCATATTATAATCTGGTGGTGTTTCTGATAGTAACTTCTCATTACCAAAATAAAAATCAGAAAGGCTTCTGCTTTGGTTTCTGTGGACAAGGTGCAAACAAGTGTCTACATGCCAAGTTCTCACAGGAGAAACAAGTTGATCACGAATCATCCTCAAACATTCAAGAGTTTCTGCCGCTCTTTGAGTTTCAGTTTGTGGCAGATATTTTTTGTAAATACATGTACTTTGGAAAATTTTCAAATAAGTTGAAAAGTAGAAAACATAAATAGTGATCCCCCGTTATGTAGCCAATCACCCACCTCAAGCAGTTAACCAACACGTGCTCAAACTTGTTTTGTCTGTACCTCCTCAACGTCACACCCTCCATACACTGGATTATTTTAAAGCATAGGTTCAGAAATTTATTTGGCCTACTGCCCCCTTTACAGAAAAAAAAAGTACTCAGCACCCTCCCCCACCCCGCCTAGCCAAGCAACGAAAACCCTTCGTACTGTAGCAGGAATCCAGGATGGAGTATAGGTCTCTGCTTTTGCAGCCCTCTTTGGATGGATCCAGGAGACTTGGTTGTGTGTTGGGCCACTCTCCCAAGGTCAGCAGTTTGAAGGCACCTGCCACTCCACGGCAGAAAGACAGGGCTTTCTAGGACTGTGAAGAGCTCCAGTCTCAGAAACTCACCGGACAGTTCTGCCCTGTCCTATAGCGTCACTGTGTGTCGGCATCAGCTCTGCGGCAGTGAGGGCATGGGCCCAGCATCCCCAGGAGGTGGTTTTGCCCACTCTGGAAGCACTATTTAAAGTAAATTCTAGATAATATTTTACCAGTGTGTATCTCTAGGAGGCTAGAAGACTAAAAAAAAATCATTACAAATAATTAATAACAATAATACACATTGTAATACTTGCCCACTGTGATTGAATCGGTGCTGACCCATCGTGACCCTCTATTTAAGGGAGTAGAAAGCCCCGTCTTTCTTCGGAGGAGCTGCTGGTGGCTTAGAACTGCTGATCTCAGCCCACTCGTAACCATGAAACCACCGGGCTCCTAATGCAATAATTATAGCATAATCATATTATTATTAATTCTTAATATTTTCCCATATCATCTAATTTTATTACCCCAGTATAATCTTGCTTTAACAGTTGGCTCATCTTGAATTGCAATTGAGTCCAGTCACTTGGCCTTTGGGCAAGGAGTTGTTTTCATTTATAGTAACTTTTCTTGCCATTTTTATGTTAACGAAACTGGATCCTGTTCTGTAGAACACTCCATGTTCTAATAATATTTTTCATGGTGTTTACTGTGTTTGTCTATTTCCTGATGGCTGATCGTTAGATCTAGAGGCTTAATCAGATTAGAGCTCGGCAGTGGTGGCCGCTGTTTGGAAGAATGACTCAGAGATGGTGCTGGGTACATGCTATTAGAAGGTGGATGTCTGGTGAACGTGTGTGGTGATTTCAGCACAATTCCTTCATTATAGAATTCTCCAGCAAGCTTGCTTCTCATGTTTCCACCTGCAGTGGATGATCATGAAGATGCTTAGATCCATTATTTAATCAGGGTTTCTAAATGATCATACTATCATTTCCCCCATGCATTTATTAGATAGAATCATTTTATAAGGATGGTTTTTCCTCATTAACTATGAAACAAAAACAAACTCACTGCTGTCGAGAGTCAATTTCTCCTCAGTGGCCCTGTAGGGCAGGGTAGAACGGCCTCTGTGGGTTTCCAAGACTGCCGCTCTTCTTGGGAATAGAACGCTGTCTTTTTCCGCCGAGTGGCTGATGGTTTTGAATTGCTGGCCTGTAGATCAGCAGCGCAGGGAGTAACCAAAATAGAGCTTATTAGAGGGAGGCTTCAAGAAGTTATCTTCAAATTCCCTTTTTCCACAGACTTTTTGAAGTCCCTTTCTGCACAGGAGAAGAAGAGAAATACTAATTGTTTCCCTGTACGTATTTGTTTTCAGAAGGACTGATGGTTCCAGCGATAAGGAAGTGTGTGTGTGTTGGGCTTTGTTTGTGTTGTATGTTTCAGTCCCTTATATTCCTTATTCTCTCTGATGATCACAAGGTCCCTTTTTGGCTGGCTGGGGTGCCCTCCAGCATGCCTTCCGAGTTCTTTTGACACGATCCTCCCGTCTCTGAGAGCTTCCTCGCCTTTTTTATGTGAAGAGGTTTTATTCTCGTTTTTATGCTGTATTCCCAAGACCCAGAGACATTCATTTCTTCATGGTGAGGGCTTAACTTTGAAAGGCCTCTTTTAAAAGAAAACAACAAGAAGCATTTATTGTGTTGTTTTGAATATACACAGCAAAACATACGCCAGTCCAACAGTGTCTGCATGTACAATTCAGTGGTGTTACTTACAGTCTCTGTTTCATGCGACTGTCTACATACTCCTTTTCTGGGCTGTTCCTGCTCCATTAACAAACTCCCTGCCCCCAAGGTTTCTGTCTAACCTTTCAGATTGCTGGTCTGACCTCATATCTCCTACAGGAGAAAAAGCATTGTGGTATGATATATGAATTATATATGCCAATAAAATAAATAGTTTAAGAATAAGAAGCATTGTGTGTAGGTTTTTTTCTGAATCATTAGCTTTTCTTCCCCTTACTCTCTTCTTTCCCTATCCCCTTCTTCCTGTTTACTTGACTTTCATGACGTGACGATGATTTACAGGAGCCCTGGTAGCATAGTAAGTTCAGTGCCCCTTACATTTGTTTTAGTAGTAGGCAAAAACAACAAAAAAAGTAATTAGTTTTAAAACTGATTTGTTTTTACATTTTAAAAAAATGTCGTAGTTGATTTTCTGTATTAGGATAAACCAATGAATTATGCATGTAAATATTAGGAATTAATCTCAATCCACTAAATTAATTATAGTTATTTGTAGAACATATATTTTCTGGCATGATAAATATACTTGCCACCCCTAAGACCAGCAGATACTTTTTTTTTTTAAGTGGAACTTTAGGTGTTTGTCAGACATTTTTCAACAATATATAAACCCAGATTCACAGGCACCGTTGATTCCCATTCATCATAACCCTTGGTAGGGATTTGAAGAGCAGAGGGCCTCGTTGTTGTGGGGATTCACCTGTTGGTCCTCGAGTTAACTCACCTGAATGTGCCACCGGGACTCCTTCACTAATTCCACATCGATCCTTTTGAAATGCCTCTTCCCTCTGTCAGTGAGTGGTCCCTGCGTGCTGTGTAGATGGTGTGTGTCCTCCCCATTGGCTTTCCTGTACAAGGCCCTTGCTCCTCATTTCCAGCCGCTGGGATGGATGATTCCTGTTGCTCTGAGACATTTTCTGTGTGTCACAGTCCATCCATTATATTCCTTCATCCCAGAAATAGGCTGAACATTTTATAAAAATAAATAGCAATGTTCCATGAGGTGGTAACAGAAAAGCAGAACCTTAATTTTATTTCTGAAACTAGGGAGTGGGGGGAAATGCTTTCAACTTGGAGAGGAATGACAGTTTGTGAAGGCAGGGGTTAGAGGAGATGACTGAGATAGAATGTGCTTTGGCATACTGAGTTTGAGATATAGATACAGCATATATGATTAGAGTCAGTTGGCAGAAAACTAGCCTCCAGGCTTGGAGACTACGTGAAACCGTAAGATTCTATCTTGTTTGATTAACATAAAATTTGACAAGTTGAGACAATAAAGTTACTCACAGTTTGGAAACAAGTAGCATAGCCAGGTATTATATGAGAAATATTTAGTAGGTTCAAAACTCAAGATATTATTCATTTATACTGTTTTTTGTTACCCCTCACTGGTCAGCTTGTTGAACTTAATTGATTGTCTTTTTTTCTTTGCCTTAGAGCCCCAGAAGTGGCCTGAAAGAGAGGATTTATCTAGAGGAAAGTCCAGACAAGAGTGACGTCGTTCTGGACCCTGTGAGTGTGGAATCCAGGCAGTGCCAAGGCTTTGTGTAGCTGTCCCTAAAACTAAAGTCATAACGCACGTTTCTGATAACTTACATATTCTTAGCTGAGTGCTTTGGTGTTCTGGTTTTATTTTTTAATTAACTTTGTCAAACATTTTATAGGACAATATTTAAGAGCATTTGTGATGTGTTGCATAGGAACTAGCAACGTAAGGACCATTGCAAAAACAGACCAAAAAGCCCCCCAAACCAGACAAACAGCTAATCAAATAGAAAATCAAAAGTTGTTTAATTATTATTCCAAAGAGGTTTCTGTTGTTCCTCCTTAATTTTTCTTTTGTACTGAAAAAGCCTTAGGGTTGGGGGAGAAAGGGAGAACCAATCACAGTGGTCTACATATAAGCCCTCCCTGGGGGATGGACAACAGAAAAGTGGGAGACATCGGACAGTGTAAGACATGAAAAAATAATAATTTATAAATTATCAAGGGTTCGTGCGGGAGGGGGGCAGAGAGGGAGGGAAAAAATTGAGCTGATACCAAGGGCTCAAGTAGAAAGAAAATATTTCGAGAATGATGTTGGCAACAAATGTTCAAATGTGTTTGGCACAATGGATGGATGTATGGATTGCGATAAAGAGTTGGACGAGCCCCCAATAAAATGATTTTTTAAAACTTTTTTTTTTTTAAGCCTTGGGGTTAAGAAAAGTTTTAAAAAGAGTAGTAAAAAAGGCAGAATCAAGTTTCAGAGATGCAAATACGAGTAGCTAGTGTTAGAACAACCATAGGGAGGAAAGAGCTACTGCTGCACACATGTTATTTTCTCAGCTTGTGATCTGTGGGTCCAGCTACACACATTGCTTTAGTGATAACACCCATGGTCATGACTCCCAATGCTTTATTTCTCACACTGCCCTTTTTGCTGAACTCCAGATCCTAACTCCTCTCAGAAAACCCAATGTCTTCCTTTCCTAAATCTCCCCCACTCAGGGATCCTTTCATGCTATATAGTCCTTTGATACTTGTGATTTTCAAACAACCCATCTTTTTTCCCTTCTAGATGGGTGCCCCTACACTGCTACCTTAAGTCATGTTGACGCCAGCGTGGTAAACCCATTGCTAAACGCTGATACCCTTTCTTGAGTGCCACATCTTACAAGCACCAGTGTGAATGAGCATCTTACAAATGCGCAAGGCAGTCCCTACAACAAAACCTACTGGGCTCAAATGTCAGTGCTAAGGTTGAGAAACTGCTGTATGTGCTAGTGCTTAGGATAATTAATGAAAAGTAGTAGGGTCTGACACTGTCCATGTGTCACATGGATGGGCGTCTGGTTAGCCCTTCTGAGGTGCATGAACCTGTCCTGCTGTCTTCCCATTGTTGTTTTGTTCTCATTTACCTTTCCCTTGTCCACCTCCCTCCTCACCCCCTTTAAACTTTTGTCTCTTATTTGTAACTGTTGGCAAAAGTCGACTTCAGAGTCTGCCCCCACAACAAAGCCTGGGCATGTGTGAATTAATCCGTGAAATATCCTGAGAGTGATTTGACTCAGATAGCTAAGGCTATGGTGGGTAGAAGGGCACTTACATTTCCAGAAGAAATGCTTTCCCCCTAAGAAGCAGTTAGCATTATTTTGGTGGGTTTTATTCCCCTAAAACGATTCATGGCCTTGAAGATTTGAGAACTGCTACTTTGAAATAAAGTTGACTCACCGCAACGCCACAGGTGTGAATCACTAGGCCTGCCTTCTAAGGGACATCTGGACAGGTTGGAATCACCAGTTATTTGATTAATCGTACTGAACAGCTAACCATTTACACCATCTAGAGAGAGACTCCTTGAAAACAAAGCAACTTAAAAAGAAAAGAACCCCAAACCTCCTGCCTTCGAGTCAGTTCTTACCCAGAGAAACCCCGTAGGACAGAGTAGAACTGCCCTTTTGGTGGTTGAGCAGACAGCCTCATCTTTCACTTTTGGAGGAATTGGTGGGTTCAAACTGCTGACCTTGCAGTTTCTGCCCCACCATGTGACCCACAACACCACCAGTACTCCTAAATAGCATTAAGCCTTTAATAATTAAAAAGGTTAAATGAATCATGCCTTTAGAAAATACGTATCATTTTGATTTTATTGCTCCTCTGAAATTGGACCGTCAGGTCATTTCTCTGTTGCTTTTCCCTCTGTTCTCCCAGGAGACTCAGTCATTGATTGGGAGTCCTGCAACACGTACGGTGCCTCATATTATTGGAGCAGAGGACGATGATTTTGGTACTGAACATGAACAGGTGATGATACTATTTTTCTGAAAAATTGATGATTTGTTTTATGAAATACCTGATTTGATGAAAAAAATTTCTGGAGCTTGGAAATAACTTTCGCAAGAACTTGAAGCTAAATTTAAGAACTGTCAGTCACTTAGGTTAATTATCTATTTTAGTTTTGACCATTAGGAATGACTGCATTTAAAGCTTATCTGATAAGAGTTTAGGTCATTGGCTTGTGCCTAAGTACTTTGTTTAAAATGTTCAAATTCCAATTGCTTATTAATGGCATTGATGTGTATGTGAAAGGACTTCAAAAAGTTTGTGAAAAAAATAAAATGAGAAGACATAGAACTTTCCTATGAACTTTTTGAAGCACCCTTTTATTGGAATATAATTGGCTTGGCTATTGTATTAAATTCTACAGTATAGCTTAACCTCAATTATTACTTCTAAGAGGTTTCTTTAAGTTCTTTGGGGTTTTCTATGTGGACAACGATGTGTTCCAGTCAATATACCTCTTATTTCCTACTCTGTCTGACTGCAGTGTGTAGGCCTTCTGATATTAGGTAGAATGGCAGTGGTGAGGTGAGACAGCCTTGTCTATTACTGATCTTACAGAGAAAGCATTCAGCTTCTTCACCAGCGTGATGTTTGTTGCAGTTTTTTGTATATGCTCTTTATTGAATTAGGAAACTTCATTGTTTGCTCAGAGTTTTTTTCATGAATGGATGTGGAATTTTGTTAAAGATTTTTCAATCTCGAGATAATCATGATTTTAAAAATGTGGTCTGTTACACAGCATAATGTGTTCTATAATGTAGCTGCAGCAATGGGTTCAAGCATAAGGAAAAGTTTGAGAGTTGCACAGGAGCAGGCAATCTTTCATTCTGTTGTGCAAAGGGTCGTTGAGCTGGAACTGACTTGCCACCACCTGTCGGCAATGTAGTAAGTGACACTGATGCTTGAATATGGGGGCGGGGCGGCACAGCTACAACTTAGTCCATTCTGACCCACGGTGACTTCATGTGCGTCAGAGCAGAGCTGTGCTCCATCCGGTTCTCAGTAGCTGGATTTTCAGAAGTAATCACCAGGCCTTTCTTCCAAGGTGTTAGGGACCAGCCTCCCCACAATTGAATGGGTCCAAGGGGCTGTTGTGTAATTGAGGGGTAAATTAAAGAGACAGACAATAAAGCAGGCAAGGGCTCACTTCCTCAGTCATTGACTTCAGGACACAGGTCTGAGCAGAGGGAGAGGGAGAGGGAGTGCGTGCCTGGGCGCATAATGTATTCTCACAAGCTTACATAATTTCAGGAAGTCAGGCCAGGATAAGCACATACGTAACAGGAAGGGGCTGTACAACGTAAACAGGAGGGGGACAAGCTAGGGGTATACACGCAATAGGAAGGGGAGGCACTCCAGAAGCATACATGTGACAGAAAGGCACATAAATAACAAGATGGGCAGGCTCTAGAGTTAAAGTGGCAGCCTAACCTTGGTCTTCTCTGAGCTGGCTTGACTTTAGGAGTCTTTGAGCTCTTCTCCAAGGGAACAATCTATGATCCTCATAAGAATGGAGTGGGCCGTACTTAGGGTGGAACAGACAATAGGATCTGATTGCTTTTGATGACAGACAACTTTCAGGGAGATAGCCTTCAAGCAGTTGACCTTCAAGCATATAGTAATAACCATATGTTTGCAAAGAGCACCTTAAATCTGGCATTATAATGGGGGGACATTGAGGGGAATGACTTTTACTTAGTAGAATGTGATTGGGACGCATCTCCAACCCACAAATGTGAAGGTTCTCTCCACCAGAGCTCTGGCTTCCCAGACTGCTTAATGTATGATTGTTGAGAGTGTCTACATGCACTGTCTTCCCTGCTCTGTTTCCCACACCAGGGTACCTTTGGGGTTGACTTGAACTGACACCATTCAGTAGCTGATTGTTCATTATTTATACCACCTTGGGGCTCCATTTGAATATGGAGCCAGCTTTCTAGTTCGAGAGTGAACCCCAATGGGCCACGGTGTTTTCTCCTTTTAGTAGACCGCTGGACTCAGTTTGCTAATTCTGTGCTGAGTATTTTTGCATCTATGTTCACGAGATATTGAAGTCTTTTTAGTGTCTCTTCTGTGTAATGAATGTCACTGCCTGATTTTGGTATTTGGGTAATTCTGGTAATTCTGTCTTCCTGGCGCGCCTAAGTAAAATTGGTAGCAGTTATTGCTTGTCTATGTGGTGGAATTCTCCAGTAAAACCTTCTGGGTCTAGTGTTTTCTTAGGTTTTTAAGAATTAGGTCATTGAGCAAATCAGTAGTCATTTACTCCACCCTCAACCCCCCAATTGGGAAAGCTGAAGACCTTTATCCAGGTAGTTCTCTGAGGTTAACTTGCTTCTCTGACTTAGTATGTAAGTATGGGAAATTGAGGGAAACAGCCATGCTGGCTTACCTAAACTATTAATGTTTTCCATGGTCATCGTATGTACGCAATACACAAATATTCTGAGTCCCCTACATAAAACCTTCCCATTCCATTTGCCACCATTATTTTTGCAATTAGTCCAAAAGTAATTGAAAAGGG